GAATTGCTTATATTTAGTAAATGTTTTAGGTATTTTAAGTTCAAAACAATTTGGGTTTGTTACTCGCGCGGCGTCTAGGAAACGCGAGAGGGTACAAACCAACCATAACATAAAGATTTTCTGAAACTTAGTAGTGAACAAAAGTAGTGATAATGAAGATGTTTTCTTACATTTTTATAAAAAAAATATGAATTAAATATGTTTTATTCTTTTCTCGTTAACGTTATATTTAAAGGAGTTTCTTAGACACACGCAAGTAACAATATTACGAAATGCAAACTAAAGTTAAATATAATTGAGATGACCTTTATTTTTAATATCCGCATCAAATATAATGTTGCAACCACACTATGTGGATTATATAACAACGTACGCAGTTTCGTAAGTTATAGTGACATAAATTATTGAAGTTGGTATACGTGGAAGTGCAAATGCAGCTGTCAGTTTAGCTGTCATTGTAGCATGATATACAATGACATTAAAATACTAAATGTCTGACAGATATTTATGTCTCATATTACGCATTGTGTGGATGCAGCAGCATAAATGCACATAAAAACAATAAAGTTATGAAAAAGCTCATTATTTGTTGATAGTAGACTTTGCAAAAGACACCATTAAATTAGATGATGGTTAATATTCGTATTTTAACGATTATTGAAAATATATTTTCAGTTTCCTACGTGTAATATCCACAGAGGCAATGGTTATATGAATGTTCTACAATGGGGTTGGATTACATGCGCGTATATACAATGTTGTAAGCATTGAGCAATGCTTGCACAATGTCTACCGTGCAGAAACTAAGAGCCAAGATTACCTAGGATATATTCCTAGAAACGATAAGCTTTATGTTGTGTGAATCGCACGTGAGAACATCCGAATAGAAAACTGATTATATCCAACGAAATGTGTTTTACTGAAAGTTTATATGTTAAGCAAAAATGAAAATTCAAAATAGGCCAATGCAAAATATGAAATATTGTTGTTAATATAGTAATGAATTCTTGGAGAGTAAAATTAAACTTTTTTGGAGCGAAGAGCCGTTTTTTATGATTACATCTGTTAAACTAAACTAACTGAATAAAAATATGTTTAAATGTATAATAAATAAATAATAATAACATTTATAACAATAGTTACATAAATATAATCTTTATTTTTTTATAAAACTATTAAATGTTTGTAATATTAATATTTTTATGTGAGTAAAAATCTTTGTAAATTTATTTAAGAATTGTCAAACTATTTTAGCTTATTAATAGTACATTTTTTTGAAGGAGTTATTATATAATTATACAAATGCATAATACTTAAATAACCATAAATGTGACAGAAAAAGCTTGCACTAACATGCTTTACAATTTCACAACAATAGTCTTATTCAAACCTTCAGCAACTTCGTTTCGTCGCGGATAATAAAGCACATTTAACTAATGTCGCACTTTACATTCCGAACAAAGCATATTAACAGATTTTATTTTTATTCTTTAAGCATTTACATTTTCACTTAGTTATAATTATGAGAATTATATTTTCAACATAAAATAATGGAATTATAGTAATATTAGTTTTCTGATACTTTTATTGTAAGAGTAGAAAATCTACTATGATTTTCTTCACATATTTGTATTGTTACTTTCTGGTTTTATGCTATAATAACAATTATTTTTTTTTATCCAAAATTGTCCATTCTAATAGAATACAATTAATCTGTTGACTTATGTACTTATTTGCTAAATCTTTGAATTATTATTATTAAAAATTACATTTTATGTACATATTTAAAATTTATTAATTATTCCGATTAATTAAACCAAATGTTTATAGACCAATTTAAAATAAAAATATTAAAGCTAAAATTATATATTCGATACTATGAATATGGAAATATAAAGTTACAAATTTTAATCATGTTAGTTTAAGTTATGATTCGATCAGAATCTTTATCGACTTATAATAGAGAATTATGAATTGGGCTTCAAATACTATTATTATAGAATATTTCCGTAAAAATGTCCTATAGTGAAAACAGCGTGATTTACGAGATTAGGTGTTAGGTGGAAGTGCATACCGGTATATAAAGAACCATTCTGTAAATATATATCTGCCGGTATACTTATTAATTATATAATGGTATGTAAATTGAATAATGTGTAATAGCCGACGAAGGTGTTTCAGTGATTGGATGAAATTGTTGAAAATTACGGTGATTATGATTTTGCAGACACGTCTCGCGGAAACACTCTTTAAGCAAACGGAGCGGAGCGTCCTGACAGATTGACAGCGGCGAAATTGCGTTCTCGCAACGTGTAAAGTCAATTACGTAACACGTCCTTTCATCGGCTGCGGCGGATGCTCTTCGGCCCCGTGGATTGATCCTTTATTAGCGCTCCAGTATCGTTAGTCCACATATATCTATCTATATGTTTATCTATCGCCGTCGATGATATCTATAAGGGATGAAAATTGGCAAGGCCAAAACTCTACTCTCCTCATCGCGACACACATATTATCGTCCCGCGGGATTTCCAACCGGTGGGAAATCAAAATGAAACGTGATACCTCCGCAACGTCTTTATTATTGCCGGTCCCACGGCAAATAGCTCCACGTCCACAAACTATTTTCGAGCCGAAAGCTGTACGAACTCACCAACAAGTATTATACAAACGTTTTGCCTCTAATACTCCATAAAGCACTTGACGCCACCAACTCCCAACTAAAATTCGCAATATCTTGCCAAGTACACACTTTTCACAACGAAATATCGATTCACGAGATAATCTAATAAGTTTGTAATTATGTGCAACGTCTTAGTTGGAAAATAACTAAGTTTACTTTATGCAAATCAGCCGATATTGAGTTTGTCATCTTCATCCTCATCATTACCTTACTTCCTTGCTAATGATGTGAACGAACCCATTATTATTATAAATTACTCGATACACAAATATAAAAGGTAAAAGGTCTTTTTATCTTCTTAATTATTATCGATTTTTATATATATGTACCAAATTCAGTAGTAAGTGAAAGAGTATTTTCTATTCTGTTTCTACAAATTGCACAGTCATGTATGAATACTCGCATTTCCCAAACATCCAGTTTTCATGTTTATTTTGGATTCATTCAATCAGTAAAATATGAAAATACTGCTTTTTCGAGTGCTACTTTTTCAACTTGGAATAAAAATTACACCCAAATTGATAAATACACATTAATGTATGAATCCATTCAATCTATTATAGTTTTCAAGAAAATCACAACAATTTGAAAATTATAGGCGACTTCCATCATAGCAGCACATAGTTCTGAATGATTTTATTTCATATCCTTCAGTAAAATACTAAATGAAAAACAATATATATTTTTCAATTTTTTTCATGGATTGTACGTTATTTTGTTACATTTTTAGAGTTTCCATTTCATATTCATGAAACTGAAAAATTTTACGGATTTATACAGATTGTAGTTATTTTTGTTATTTGTTTGTTCTATAGAGCATATTTTATATTATTGTATATATTTTGTAAACATGTTTTTTTTTTTAAATAAATATAAATAATTATATTTTAAATATTGATTTTAAACTTTTGTCTGACTCAGACATTTAATTTTGATTCTCCATTCCAGTCAGATACAAAATTTGGAGATTCAAGGTCATACAAAAAATGTGTAACATTTTTAACATACAAATTATATAACAGTACTTACTTGTTTAACATTATGTTGAAAAAGCACATATTTAAGGTCCTTGGTGCATTGGTAACCACGAACGTTTAATTGTCTCTGCAAGCAAAAAAAAAAGTAACACCACATTAATGCGAATGCAATTCGTGAATAGTCTAAAACCAGCTAATATTCCGTGTTTTGTTCTTGTTTTAATTGACTTACGCAGAGTTTCAGAACTCAGGACGCCGAGGGCCCAATTCGAATTGATTTATTTCGTTAGTTTTCGAAAACATTAAATTAGTTCCAAAACATTCACCAAAATTATCTACTATATTTTCTGCAGAAATACGCAGTAACTTCATCTCCATTTCTTCCCCCTATACATATATTTTTTTAATTAAACACAAGCACCTTCATCTACTGACGCTATTACGACAGTAGTGGAAGAAGGCCTGAGGCTCGGGAGAAATATTTTCATTCGAGTCCTAATTAAAATTACTTAGGAGTAAATTAATTTAATTTGAGCGAATAAATTGTACCGTCGAGTTAAATATAGTTCGAATTAATTGTTGAAAAATATTGCACGATCTGTCGGTGTTTAATTATAGCTTGGGAATGTCCGAGTGACAATGAAATGAATTAATAATAATAAAAAAAAAACTAAAAGTGATTAATTATATGAAGGAAGCGGAGATGTGTTTATATAGATGTAGGTGGATAAAATGTCTAAACTGAATGAACTTTCCAGGATTCTGTGGAAACCGGCGGTGTACCCAATTAGACCTGGACTTGTCCGCAATCCTGGAATCCCACTCATTGCTGCGCAATAGCTAGACAGTTTTGTTAATGGAACTTATCCTGATAGATGAATTGGCCCAGATTGCTCCACTATTTGAACACTAGACATTCAAATTTCAAAACCAATTAAATCCGCGTTTAATCGTTTCTAATTTACCCAACTTTTGACTAATTAAACATATTATCTTAATTACTAAATCATGTTATCCTAAATATTTAGTTTTATATAATTGTATTGCTTAAATTAATATTTATTTAAATCTAAATAATATTGATTTTATACAATTTATATTTATGTCTACAGTTTATTTATGTTTATATTAAAAACCAACTGTATAAAAAAGCAAAATAATTTCTCTTATGCTGTTTTAGTATTTGTCTTTTTATAAAGATTAACATCACAAAAATACTATAGCAAGTGCTTCATAGACATATTTATTGTTGACTATCGGATAATATATTTTTTTGTAGGACTAAGCTATAATGTCCAGACATTTCAGCTGTAAGTTGTAAAAACTTTGGGATTGATTTATCCAGTTACATTGTTGTACCACATTCATGTATTCCCCAAATACATTGTCACATGCAACATCAAATGGACTTAACAATTATGTTTAGCTAATAATAAGTAAATCCCTGAAATGAGTGACGTGTATTATGTTAAAGTGCGTATTGTGGCATTAAATCCACTTGTTGTGTAACAGCGGAGGGCCTCGCAGGACGAATCCGACTGTCAGACTTTTCACAAGTTGCGCGCAAACTTGCTCACCGTTTAACAAGCAGAAACAAACTTTTAAATGTTGTAGTGACGGTGAAATTAATTTCATTGCGTAACATTTTACACTTTCGCTACTTTAATAATTCTACGCAAAGCTACATTAATTATGATTGTAAGTAAATTTATGTAACAAACGAAAATTGAAGAACTTACCAATGTATGGTTTGTAACTAGTAAAGAGATTGTAAAGTTGCTAGTATCTAAGACAGCAAGGCCACCATCGTCGGCTTGGAAAACGAAGTGTGTACTTGATATCCACGCTGGTGGTAATCTCCCCGGACTTAAATGTCCCTGAAAATACAAAAAAATAACGAATTAATCAAATTGCTGTCACGAAATGTGCCTGAAAATTGTATCAAACCAAATATAAATTGATCGTACATGAAGATAATGAAATTACCGAGAATTTGATTTGAATTGTCAATTTTATTCGAAATGAAAAATTATTAATTTGCAATTTAATTTTTGTACACGTTACATTTATTTTTTGTTCAGGAATTACAGCACGTACAACAGTAAAATGTGAGTATCACCCTCTCACAATCTTGAGCGAGAGAAACTTTTGTAACTATGTTTACTTGCGACTGTAATATTCATAAACGGAGCCAATGTTTCTCGTTCGCAAACTACTGGAATTGTTACATCTTGACAAAACATTCCAGCTATGACATTCTTTCCTAAATATTTTACAAGAGCATTTCTTAAGAGACTTTCTTTTAGTAGTGTCATTTGGTTATTTATATGTTTGCATGAATCTGTTATTAAATTAACAATGCGTGCTTAATGCAATTTACAAAACTGGCATGTTTACGTGCAAATAAAAATCATGTTCAGTATTAATATTTTATTTCCTATTGTACGCCATTTAATTTGCGAACAATAATGTTTAAGGTGGAAACTTTAGCAGGCAATTTTCTCAACCTGTTGTGGAATTCATTTATTTGGTTGTTCTTTGCATGTCGCCGTGTAATTGCTAACAATGAGTAAACTTCGAGCAAAAAAAAACAAAACATATTAGTTGATGTAGTAGCTATTACGTTTGATTAAAACTTTCCCATGCGAGGTAATATTCTTTTTCTCACAATGGAACTTTATAATTGCCAATTTGGTCTTAATTGACATTCTGCATGCTAGGAATTTGCAGCGTGTTTATCTTCTCCTTCTTCTTCTCCATTTTTTTTTTGATTTATTTATTTTTCCCTTCGTTCTTTAGCGTCTCTATACACGCTTGATGGATGTATTATTAATTGCGTTTGTGTATTTGGGGGGAAATTGTTTCGCGGTTGGTAAACAATAAGTTATCTGTATTGGCATGGTGGTATGTTGTGTCCACACTTTGACAAAATGCCACGGGGGGAGTTCTGGGGTTGTTGGCACATACCACCCTTATGTATTCACGTCATGTACAGTAGAATCGGTTACTTAAGTTCGCGAGGCTCGAGAGGGAGAAACTGCCGCCGTCTGTTCGCATCCAGGAAATTACGTCTTGAAAATAAGCGACGGAGAGATGTAGCCTGTATACAAGTTTATATTTTACTCGTCGACAAAAATGAAACAACCTACGACTCGAGATTTTTATCACAAAAGAAAAATCTAATTTACCGGGGCTCCGTGTCTTGGGGAATATTATATCCTGTCAAAAAGTGGACTTTCAGACTCTTATCTTAATGAGCTATATAAAACCATGGATCATCCTCACATAATTATCAGATAATTAATAAAAAAAATAACAAAATCAGTTAACCAACAACCATAAAAATACAAAAAAAAAAGTATGAAACAAAAAAAAAAAAAATTCTAATTTGCTTACAATTCATTTTTGCTACATGAACTTTTTCATAGCAAATAATTAAAAAATCTTGTGAATTTTAGTAATTATTGATTAAAAATTTAATGTAACTTTAGATTTAAGAATGTCGATAAATTAAAAAAATCGTCTTAGGAAAGCGTAGTAATATGATGAAATGAAATGGGAATACACAAAAAGAATATCAAAGAAAGGAAAGTATATTCAAAGAATGTGAATAATTGGATCGGATAAGGAAAATTATCCAGAAAACCGTTTGCATAAGGCTGGTTTCAAGAAGAAGCTCGAAGTATGGGACAAAACGCTCAGAACTTTTCACTTCATCCAATATTATATATTTCATAATGTTCTGTTTGTAACTTATAGTTGCTGTGAAAAAAAATATGAAAAGGCTGTTTGATTAATTATTTAAATGATAATTGTAGCAAGTTTAGCAAGTTTTTTTTTTTGTTTTGTATAGCCAACTTAATATAATTGTTATTGCATATAGTTATAATGAGGCCTCGGCAGATGCATAAACTCCTCGCCAGCAAAAGAAAAGAAATAAAAGTGCTTTAGTTATTAAAATTATTGATATTTTGCAGCATTTTTTTTTGTATTTGATTTAGCTACTCACCGGATGATTATACCTACTCGCCGCCGGCGAGCGGCCGAATGTATCTGTCGAGCCCTGGTTATTGTAATATGAAAGAAAATATTAAAAATAAATCGAGTTACAATTCATGTACAAAACATCAACAACCGATTATATATGCAAATGGTTTTGTTACAGAAGCAAATTTTCAATTACTGTATGAAAATTTTAATATTTTAATATTTTTATATACTATATTTTATATAATAGCACTTACTAACTTAAAGTAAATATATATTGTGAATAGTTCGTTATAAAAGCCTTTTGGATAGATGCATATGTTGTGCATATTATATAAAAATATAAATTAGAAAAGAATACATTGTTCATAAACTTCTGTAAGATATGTTTACGAATGCCATGCGTTTCACTAAATTTCTTCGTTATCAGAGATCAAAAATACTATGCCCAGAAGGTATAAGTTCTTAGTAAAGAAAATGAAAAGTTTTTTTTTTCGAACGTACAACTTACATATAAAATTAAATTACATTTATAAATATGGATTAATCTATTTCATTAACTCTGAACAATTATTTAACAATCTTTTTCAATATTTGATTTTTAACATTTCTTCGGACAGAACTTCTGTAATTTTGTCTTCATTTTATTTGTGTTTGGTGCTAACAAAGTTTCTTAAATCTTCCAATCTGAATAACCATTATCTTGTGCATTCAATAAAATCCTCTTCTTAATTGAAAACTATTGATTAAGCCATCTATACAACTTCATTCAGACTTCTTTCTAAAAACTGTCTGGATAATTGCGAACTTCGTTGGATCGAACCTTTGTTATCACAGGTAACACTAATTGAGGTATTTGTATTTCAAGTCTGAGAAATTAGGCAACTTAAATAATTGTATAAAATAATATTTAATTATTTATGATTATTATATTAATTTATGATTATTTGTAGTTGATTTGAATTCATTCAATATTATGGAATATTATACTTAAAACCATTAACGTTATATTATAAAATGATACTTTTCAATTCAAGTAATTAGCACCAAAACATTGAGCTATAAATTGGAAAGTTGGCGGTAAAGCATAAACTAATTGATTGAACGGTATTTGATTGCTTTGCTGTCCCGTGGCTAAATTACAATCCGCCAATGCATTTGAAATTGACCTAATCTACGGTTAAATCGTAATTCTATGGTATGGCAATTATCTTCATTTAGAAAGGTAATTTCGATATTTATATCGTGCCGACCTGTTTTATAACTCGCACTTCGTTTCATTGCCAATTTAATTGCTTTATGATATTATGATGCATCTATTTAATAGAAAGATTATGTAATATCATCAAATATGTATTATACATGTATTTATTTATATATTACAGTCACATATTACCTCTCATAACGAAATTTAGATATAATGAAGTCTTCGATTTCAGATATTCAAATTTAAGACAAAGCCCGATAATCGTCTTGAAGTATTAATAGACAAATAAAATAAGATTCAAGAAATTAGAAATGAAGTTATCAAGATTGAGCCAAAAGGTTTCAAAAATGTCGATGAAGAGGATGCAAAAGTTGATGGTTTTTCAAGCAAAGATTTAGAAAATCTTATTGACAACGCATAAAAATTAAATTAAAAAATAATTGAATTTTAGTGAAAATCATCCCGATTTAGAAATATATATTACTCTTAACCGATTAGCATTCAATATAATAAATTATTAAATGAAAGAGAAAAAACATAAACAATCAATTAGATGATTTATTTAATAAAAATTTTCTTTGTTTGAAAAAATAGCTTTTCATTTATTCCTATAATATTTTTACCTGAAAACGAAGTTTTGATTAACGAAGTTATTATATGGAACATGTCTGATTCGTTAATAGAGGTATGATTGTACAAATAAATGTATTGGAATTATTTGAAATAATTTCGATAATACTGAAATGGATATAAAAGTTACAGTTGGGCTTTTATTTCGGATAGTTTAATAATCCTTATAGCCACCTGGGAACTATGGGTGTAGACGAATTAACGTTAATACCGATCATAGATAATTCGTCGAGAATCGATTAGAGAATTAACGGTATTATCTCGAACCATTATGGAGGGTAATGCGTAGCAAGGCTGGGCTACCTGAGCCCGAGAACAGTGTTAGTTACAAAGGTAACATTTCTACATCGCTTGTGAACTAAAACATGTGATTAATAGATAAATTACCATCAGCATTTTACATGAAAAATTTGACGTCGCATCGGAATATTCAGAGCAGGAGTAATTTACAAAACGCGATAACATCGAAGCGCTTAAACTATAAACGTAGATTCCGAAATGCTCTTATTCCAAGATACGGACGTTTGATGTTCCCAAGGTAAAATAATAAATAGGGAAAACAAAGCTAGAAACGGGATTCAGACGCGGATGATATAAAACCACCGTTGCACGTACTTAATGATACGTGCTGACAAAAAGCATTATTTATTCTTTACCCGAAAGAACATCAAAGGACAAAGTATAAAAGAGCATTCATGGACTTACATTTTACATTCACCATTAATTATAATCTTATAGATTTTAAATTATTTTTTTAAAATTTTGATTTAACAAAATTTACTTTAAAATTGTTTAAGTTACTTTTAATTCACTTGCTTAATTATTTATGACAACGTACTTAATTTACATTTTATAATTAATTCTCAAAGCCCTTAAAATGTGGAAGTCCTTTATTAATTACATGCCACATACACACACTTAGTTAAGTGGTTTATAAATTTAAACTACAAACATTTATTACAAAACTTGCAAATTCGCTACATCATGGATTTCTTTCAGAAGACGCTATTAAATAAATACAGCAATACCTCGCATAGTCCGGATTCATTGAAGTCTGGTTTTAAACTAAATTTCAATTGACAGAACAACTTCCGAAAATTTAGTAGACAATATTAATTATTGTATTTTTTTTCTCTATGTCATTTTTTTTTGGTGAAGTATGTTTTTATACAGATTAAAAGGCCTTAATTATCCAGACTATTGGAGGTAATGCTGTAATGGCAATTAAAAATGTTTGCAAACCCGACGCATCCACCATAAAATTAGTTTAGTGAACAAAGTTGAAAGTAGTATACGTTACCTGAAGATATTCATCAAGATCCATTCGTTTCCCATGCCAGTAAAGTAGTTCATCTACGTAGCCTAAGAGGTATATAGCAGTAATGATTCCGGCAATTACCAAACCAATTACAAGGAGGGAAAATATAATGGACCACCAGTTATGTCCCTCGTCGCCGTGCAATGCTAGCTCCTATTTAAATAAATAAACAGTTAACATTAGATCTGCAGATTGTATACAACTTATTTCATTAGTACATTATTATTATTATTTATCATTGCATCTTATTCAGGTCTAGCTTTCAGTTCCCGGAATTGCTTTTCTTTGCAAATTTTATGGGTAATTTTCTACAGTAATGCATACATTAAAAAATCTCTGCGGTGCACTATATTACTGTAATTCCAGCTGAAAATTGCCTTTTTACACTCGAATGTGAAGCGTTTAAAATTCTCTTTGCTTATGCAGCGTTAGATTTAATCTGTTTTTGTTTCGCGACGATCTAAAATAATTTCAAACATACTAAAAACGAAAACATTGTAGAATTTCGATTGAAGTAAAATTATCACGAAAGTACGTGCGTTTCGAAAATCTATCATTCTATTAACAGGCTATAATAAAACTAGATTAAATGGTATATGCATGACAATTCTAATTAGGATGCAGAAAACTTTCAAGGATACGAATGCAAAACTTCTAATAAAGTTAAGGAGTACTAATAATAAGTGAGCTTGTTGTATTTTCGTAAACACTGTGTGCAGAGTGGAGATAAACTTAATGAAAGTTCCCCTGTAAAATTCTGTGCTACTTTCAAGTGGATTGCTAAATATGGAGTGCAGTTTTCGATTCTCCAATGTGCGGTTTTTTTGTTTAGTTCACTAAAACATGATTCCACTAAGAAATAAATAATAATAAATAAAACTAAGTTGTGCTAGAAATGTATAAGGCTAAGATAAAGTCGTAAATTTAATTAATACATTGTTAGTATTTAACTAATTTATTTGCTTTTAACGTTATTTTTTTTTAATACTTTGACAATTTTTTAAAAATAAATTTATTCAATAATTAGAGAGAAAAAAATAAAAACAATAACATAAAATATTTTGAGTCATTCGGGCAAATTTAACAATTGTACAATTTTTTCATTATTTTCTGTCCTATTATTTATTTAATTTAATGAACATTATTGTTTCTTAATTCGCATAGTGCGGTTTCATAGTCATATTTGAAAATATCATAACAAAGTAAATGTTAAGTAACCAATAAAAAATAAATTTTAAAAAATTGGTAAACAAAATTTTTCCTTTTGTAGAATTATGTCTTGTTTTCCTCAATTAATCCGGTTTCAAGCCGCACTATACGAATTATTGCTGTAATAGGATTATGAAATATATTGTAATTAACCCTCTCCTTTAATCACATTAGTAATATTCAATAGTTGATTGCTTAATGCAATATTATCTTTAAATAAATATTAAAAGCAAATAAATTAGATATATTTGTTTTAGACTACTTATTAATATTAGCTAAAATACTAAAACTAAGTCAGTACACATTCCAGTAAATTTACATACCACTATAATTCCATTCCGGATGCACTATATTCTGTATAAAAGGTGTAGCTTATCTTGAAAGGTATTAATGAGAACACAAAACATGGAGAAATACTAAACTTGTCTGAATAATGTACGTTCATTAGTTTGTGAATATATAGAACAATCCCATATTTCGCGTCACATTAAGACCACTCATAATTCTTTTCATTGATGATTTGTGTAATTGTAATTTGTTTCGATAAGCTATTCTAAAGATACTAGTAAACCTCTAGAAATAAGTTTGTAATTGTAAAAACATACAGTGCATATCATTCGAAATTAATTTTTGAATCCTCGATGGTTGGTGTACTGACCTCTTCGCTACCTACCTCGGCCTTTTTGGCCTTAGGGTCGGCAACCTGCAGTGTTTCATCTGGGGGCAGTCGCCAAGAATTACGATCACATTGCACATTGGCGTGCATCCCGCTACCCGCCCCTCTATACCAACCCTAACCGACGCCACCGTCAAGCCGAACCTCGTAACAATTCCAATAAATCCTCCAAATGACCTGAAATCAAAATCAAACTTTTATTAATATTCAGGATTCAGATATTTTATGCTTTACTTATTTCCAAAGAAAAAAAAATAGAACAGCGCTACAGAAAAATCAAGCTTGAAAGTAAATGCAATGCTCGGAATAAATGTATACGTCGAGCACCTGAAACTAAATGGGGGCAAAGCGAAGCGGGAGATTAATCTGTAGGAGGGTCAGCGTACAGAAAGAAAACCGACTTCGGTCGGATTGCTTTCAGAATCATTAATCTCAACAATTCTTATTCCGGAAACTTTTATTAACCAATCGTTTTCTTACTTAATACTCGTTCTTACAATTTCCCATTAAATACTTTTCTCTATTGTGTAAACTAATCGTTAATTAACTTTTCAATATATCTGTAATTAATAATTTTTACTAAATTTTTCTAGTATATTATATATTCATTCGGTTCTCGCACTGTTTCGGACTAATTTGCGGACGAGCGGCGGAAATATTCGCACTACTTTTTATGTTTATGCACAATTATACGGTCAATTTAGAACAACCAATTATTACCGAAAATTATAAATAAAAATAACAAAATTCTGTGTTAAGTTTTAGTTTATTTTTAGAATTTTCAAATCGTACTATATTGTATAAAATTAATCTTCATAACAGATATAAATTGTTAAATAATACTCAAATATTTTCCAGGCTTTTCCTAATAAATCTGAAGAATCTTTGGAGATTCAATTATACAGTTCGTATACTTTTATAGATACTTTTACCAGATGCATTATTACATAATAAAAAAACTGTTTTTGTAAACTTTATGTCCTTAATAAAATTCAAAACAAATAATCATCATTTATTAACTTTATATTTCAATCTGTTTCAAAGAAAAAAAAATAGTATAATGATAAGTGGACATGTTAATTTGAACTAAAAATTTGTTTGTGACTTGAAATGTTTGTGCCAGATTTGATGGATGACTTAAAAAAAGTATTTAATGATTTGTTTAAAGAAGGAGTATTCCATAAGTTAAAAGTTTTAATGTAAATAAAATGCTAGTTTAATACAAGCAGAATTAAAATGTAATCCTCAAAAGAATTATGTTTTAAACGTAAAATTATTTAATTGGCTCTGGGCCAGAGCGGATTTAATGAAAACAAGGCTAGTTGCAAACACATAATAAGTAGCGGTGTACCAGATACTAGCGGTTAAATTAAGGCCATTGTACATTTTGATAATGAAAATAGGTACTTTTCATAATACCGTTTTAATAATCATATTTATTGCAAGAACTATAAAAAAATCATAAATTATTACAAATTTAATTAAATAAGTTAAATTATTACAGTAAAAGTCTCTTAGCATTTTTTTCATAAATCGAATAGTTTGGGAATAGGTTGAAACCGGACTAATCATGAAACTAAATGAAATATAGATATTTTATTGTTTCAAACCGAACTATAGTGAATCCGGACTAATCGAATGCGGATCTTCTATTTTTGATGTTATATTTATTTTGATATTATAAGAATATTTGTCATGATGAAAAATGAATAATATATATTTTAATTACTTAATTTAAATCAAAGAAACACATTTGGTCACATTTCTAGCCAATACATATGTTAATATAATAATAAAATGGACATAAATGTTTCTACATGAAAAACAAAACAAAATCTTTAAAATATGTGTATCTGTCGGTAACAGATGGTGCCATCATTTGCCTTGGAAGTGTACGTATACAAGGCAAGGCGTGTCAGGACAGATGACCACATCATCACAAGTAACTGACATGTTGCGATACATAATACCACAATGTGTCACACCAAGATTATTACATAATTAAATGCTATATATAAAGTGTATAATGTATGCAGTTATGTGTTGAGGTTTTATTTGAAACCATTAAATTTTACACGTCTTATTAAAACAATAAATGGTCACATTATAATTACATCATATAACAGACAGTTATTAAATAAATTCAACAATTAATACTTAATTATAATACAGTCATACTTCGGTTAACTTTACCTCTGATAACGAAGCTTTGATATTCAAGAAATTAGAAATGAAATTATTCAAATGGCTCAATCAATAAATGTATTGAATGCAGAAGATGATGGTTTTCAGTAGAATTTTCTGAAAATGAAGACGAAATTGCAAATTCACAGGTTAATGAAAATCAATTCTTGCTATCATGTTTTTACCTCTGCAAACGAAGTAATTTCGTAGAACGAAATTTATACAATTGCATAAATTTATATATGAAAGTATATTGAACTTTACGTACATATAATCAATGTTCCATCTTCCTTTATTGTTCTATAAATTTGTATTATTAATAACTTTAATGTTAGATTCATTTGTAAGTTTAACTTCAGAATAGTGAATATTTAAAAAATAAATCATAAGTAAACAGTAATTATTTTTCAGGAAACTTTTCAGTGAAAATCAAGTATAAACTTTACTTAAATATTTGAAAAATGTATTGAAAAGTAATGTAGTAATTAAAAATTATATTATTGAAGTTAATAAAAGTAGCTGTTTATTTCATATAGAAAAATAATAATTAGAAATATAATTGAAGGATTTCATATTTATTACAAAAGTAAATAGAAAAATAAATATTTTTATGAAAACAGAAACTATTAGAGCTGCTACATAAAATAGCGCACTGAGTAATAAAAAATATTGTACTTATTACGTGGATAAAATCCGTTTTCTATTGCAGCAGCAAAACGTATCTGCGCAGCGTCGGTACATGCTTGTAACACTGATAAAGTGTTTATGTCGCATTTACTGTGTTTACGAACGGAAATCCTCAAACCATTCATATTTATATAATATTCCTTAAAGTTATACTTTTGCGATTTATGACGTGGGAAATAATCTTTCCCTGCACGTTTCTTTCAAAAATAGCATTTTCAGTCGCTAAATATATTCGCATGGTCTATAAATACGTTACGTATCCAAACGCGATTTCAATCTTAATAATGTCACATGAAACAAGAAAAAAGAGAGAAACAGAATAAAATGCGTGGTAATTCTATTTTGTATGATATTATTCTAATCTTAGAAGTAATTAAGTCCGTGTTAAAATGAAAAATAATGCGGAGACGAAATGCTTTGAATATTAGAAGTAATTAAGTCCTTCATAAAATACAAATATTTGCTGTGTGAAACTATTAGTTTATGTGTTCTTTTATAACGAGTTCGCACTAGTGTTTACACGTTTAAGACATTTATATCAACTTCGGGTCAAGTACCGGTCGTACAATTTAATTGCAAGCCCGGTCGGGTACATGATTAAAGCTTAACAGCGTGTCTCAAACTATGGGGTGCACATTATTTAAACTGAAGTGAAATTGTTTTCAAACTATTGTTGCTATCAACATATTTCAGTACATTCAATGAGAAAATTGCATAACATCATGCTAAACTATTCACAAAGAGAATAGAAGATTCAGAAACTATGTCTTTTTTTCGGTGGTGGAGAAATGACTCGGAGCTTTGTGTAAGACATCAAAGCTCCGAGACATTTCCCAGTGGGTTAGTATTAGCACAACAGGCTTATGACCACAGCTGTTATATTTGTCAAGATTTCTTTAACACATGGGTCGAGGAACATATTTTTAGCAATTACCCCAAAATATATTCATTTATGCCGGAATTATCTCATTATGACGGGGACTTGTTTTCATTGATACATGAAGTTTATAATCTCAATGTTTAAATTATTACAAATAACGAAATGCTATAGGCAAGTTTATTGTTTAGTGAGTTTATTTATTATTTGTACAACTCTAGAAATTATCCTGCAGTTATATAAAAGAAAATTACTAAAATGCTAAGGTATCTACCAAGTTATATGTTTAACTATTTAGTATATACACTTTAAGACATTTGTTGAATAAGTGTCTTCCTGATTTAATAGGTTTATCAGCGAGTAATAAAAATAACAATCTATGACGCTCGTTGCTTAACTATCATAAATTATGAAAAAATAACTATCTAGTTATGAACTATGTTTAAAAGCTTACTAATATTGCGGAATAGTTCTATTTTTTGTATGATTTTTTTTTAAAGGATCAATTAATAAAAGAGGGAGAAGCTTGATGTCGGAAATAGTTCGTTCGCTTAATATATATAAAGGTTGAAGTTCAGTTCCGGCCGTTAGGCCCGAAATTCCGCGACGTCAACGGGCGGAACGACCCAACCGCCCCCGCCATAAAACCAACGCCGCCCGTTCTATTTTAATTAAAAGCCCAGCTACAGGCAGAAAGAAGAGCAAAAAAAATGAACGGCCGTAGAAGAAGAGTTGACCAAAACCGCTTAAAATAAATTGAATACGCGTATGGATTCATTTTTTAATTAATAACCGGTTAAAGAGTGGATGGATGCGGTTTGCTGCTGAAATTAGTTGGTGAGTGTCAGCGAGATCTGCAGAATAGACCACTGGGGGAGGAAAGCCCATCAATGTAGCGGTCGAGTGCACCACCACGACATTAGCACTGTCTGTCACATTTTGGGGTTTCAGATAGGTATTACCGTTAGTCGAACAAAATTAAACCTTAAATCTTTATGCTTTTAAAGATTAGTAAAATTATTTATATAGTGTGCAATCATTCTGATAAATTCATCTAATATAATATTAACTGTAATTATTATATGAAGTACAACATATTATAGCACGATATTGTCTAACACGATCAACAATATGAAGAACTCCTCATATATCATATGAAGTATAGTTAATACTACAACTCTATACTTCTACGTAAGTATACATAGATACAAAAATAAAATATTATTATTGGTTTTCTACAAATTTACTAAAACCGATAATTAACTTGAATTTTTAACGATAAATTTAGACAGTGATGTAATATAAAAATATAAAAAAAATAATAATTTTATTTGGTATAGTTACTAACATTTTAGGTATTTTATAACAATTAAAGTATACCTGAAATTTTAACAACAAATTCAGTTTGGTACTCCAAAACTTTTATACTATCA